CTTCATTTGTTCCCTGAAATAACTTCCCTCTAGACAAATGATCATTTGACACGAAAAGCACTTTTAAAAAGAAGTCTGTTCTTCAAAAAAACAACCCAATTTAACAGTGATTACATTTATCAAGTACCCAATGACCATATTTACCCCATCTCTCGAGTTACTTGGATAACTGTGTTTGCTAAAGGTTCTGTCAGGAACAATCACAAGATATAAAGTTCCTAATCTTGCTTTTTATAGAATCCAAATAAAAAGAAACAAACTTATCTCTTAGGAAATATAACTACCAGTGACTAGCCTTAAATGAATCCTTCAGTGATTTAAAAATAAATCCAAGATTTTTTTTTCTTTTTAAGTGCTATTGTTGTTGTTGCTGTTAGATGTCTTTGAGTCAGTTCCCACTCATAGCAACCCAATGTACAACAGAAGAAAACACTGCCAATCCTATGCCATCCTCACATTTGTTGCTATGTTTGAATCCATTGTTAACAGCCACTGTATCAATCCACCTGATTGAGGGTCTTCCTCTTTTTACCTGACCATCTACTTTACCAATCATGATGTCTTTTTCTAGGACTGGTGCCTCCTGATAGCATGTTACAAATTATATGTGACAAACCCTTGCCATCTTTGCTTCTATGGGAGATTTTGGCTGTACCCCTTCCAATATAGATTTTTTTTTGTTTTTCTGACTGCGCGTGATATATCCAATATTCTTTGTCAACACCAAAGTTCAAGTAAATCCATTTTTAATTTCTCTTCTTCACTCACTTTCCAGTTTTCTCATGCATATGAGGAAACTATGGCTTGAGTCAGGCACACTTTAGTCTTCAAAGTGACAGCTTTACTTTTAACATTTAAAGACACCTTTTACAAAAGAGTTGTCCAATACAATACAACATTTATATTCTTGACAGCTGCTTCCTGGACCTTGATTATGAGTTCAAATAAAATGAAATGGTCATTGATTGTAAATTCAAATAAAATGAAATCCATGACAATTTCAGTCTCTTCTCTACTTATGGTGATATTTATCCAGTTATAAGAAGTTTTTCTTTATGTTGAGACATAATCCACTTTGAGGCCTATAGTCTCTGGTCATCATTACATGCTTCCAAGCCCTCTTCACTTTCTGTAAACAAAGTTGTGTCACATGAATATTACAAGTTGTTAATGAGTCTTCCTCCCAACTTGACACTATATTCTGCTTGATGTAGTCAATTTTCTCAGATTATTAGCTCAGTATGGAAATTGAATAAATATGATGAAAAGCTACAACTCTGCTAAATGTCTCTCCTAATTTTACACCATGCAATCTCTCCTTGTTCTGTCTGAATGGCTACTTCCTGGTCTCTATATTGTTTCACATGAGTATAATTAAAGGTTCTGAAATTCTTATGCTTGGCATTGTTATCTATAATTTGCTATGATCCACGTAACCTTTGTATAGTCAATTGTTGTTGTGGTTAAGTGCTGTCGAGTCAGTTCCAACTCATACTGACCCTATATAGGGTTTCCAAGGAGTGGTTGGTGAGTTTGAATCATTGACCCTGCAATTTAAATGGACCTTGCAGTCCAGTACATTAATCCATAGTGCCAAGCCAGGACTCCATATAGTCAATAAAACCCAGTAAAATATCTTTCTGGCATTCTCTACTTTCAAGATTTTAGAAAATATGAGCTGTGTTTATATAAAAACATAGGCAGCCATTGTTCCTGACCTAGTTGCTCACGGTGAGCCAGGATAGAGACCATGGCCACAGCTAGCCCCTGTCCCATTCTTTGGGGACCATAACCTTCTCCGACGTGTTACAACACCTGCTTTTTCAAACTCATTTGGCAACAAAATCACCTTGCATGACCTCACAAGTATATGACGATGAACAGAGACAAAAAGAGAGAGAGAGAGAAAATATTCATTCCTTAACTATATCTGGCCATGTTGGTTTAGAGAGTTTACCTGATCAGCTGATCAACAGATCCACTGTTTTAATATCCTCTTTATGGGGGAAGCTGGAATTGAGAAACCAATACTGATGATTCAACATTGTTTAATTCTAATTTTGAAGATCATCAATCCTCACACTTTTATCCACATGGTAGACTTAAGGCTCAGACATATGAAACTCCAGGAAAGTAATGTTCAATTAAAGTTAACCATTTTGAATACAGTGGGATTTAGTGACCAAATAAACTAAGAAGAGAGCTATTAGCCAGTAGTTGACTACATAGATGTTCAGTTTGAGGTCTGTCTTAAAGAAGAGCTGAAGATTAAGCACAGTCTCTGTAACTACCACGATTCCCACATCCATGTGTGTCTTTATTTCATTTCACGTACAAGCCACTCTCTAAAGACACTTGATATCTTAACCATAAAGAATCTGAACAAGTAAGGAGAACATTATACCAGTAATTGCCAAAGCAGATGCAATTTATAAAACTGAGTTACAGAGATTCAAGATCAAGCTTATGAGTGAATTGGTTAGCAATGGCATCCAGATACACCAATTCCCAACAGATGATAAAACTATTGCTAAAATCAATTCTTCAATGAATGCAAATTTTCCAGTTGCTGTTGTAGGAAGTATGGATGAGGTAAAGGTTGGAAATAAGATGGTCAAAGCTTGTCAGTATCCTTGGGATGTTATACAAGTGGAAAATGAGAACCACTGTGACTTCATAAACCTCTGGGAGATGCTCATTTGTACAAACATAGAAGACTTGTGAGAGCAGACTCACACTTAACACTATGAACTACACAGATGTTGCAAACTGGAGGAACTGGACTTTAAAGATGTGGGCTCAGAGAACAAGGCTGCCAGTGTTCAAGAGACCTATGAAGCCAAAAGACATGAAACCTATGGTGAGTGTCAGAGGAAAGAAGAGGAGATGGTTTGTGCAGTGAGTCAAGGAGAATGAAGCCATATTGAAAGAAGTTGAGAGAGCGCTCTGGGCCAAATTTGAACATCTTAAAAGAGTTCACGTCTTCTCTGAGTGGTTTCCAACCTGTCTGGATGGGGCTGGTGAAATGAGATGGAGATAAGACTCTTGTGGTTCAATAGTGAATAATTGCTATCAGGACTGATTGTGAGTGTTGCAAGTGTAAAAAGGTAGACATTTTATAGCAAAAGGAGAGGAGTGGCTGATCTTGCAGTCCAGGAGCTGAAGACTCTGGGACCATCAAGGGAGCAGAGTGGAGTGTGGGACCCTATCCAGAGAAGCAGTGACATCAGAGATGGAGGTAGAGATGATGATGTGGAGAGATGGAACAGCTGGGGACTCTGGTCTCTCAGAGGGAGAAGGCTATGTGTTGAGGCCAGGGATCAGGCTTGTGGGGTGTGCCATTTGGCTGTTTGATGATGCATGCAGGGAATTTTATTTATTGCAATGAAATGGAATAAGACAGGATGAAGGTAAAGCTAATGTTCTCCCATGTAAACTTTCATAACTCACAATAAAACCTTTTTTAAAAAAAGAGTTCACCAAGAATAGAGAATGAATCTTGAAGAAAAGAGAAGACTTTAGGAAGAAGAAATAACTGCTTTTTCTAAAAAGAAAGCTACCTGTGAAATGTATCAGAGCCAGTCCTTTGTTGCAACTGGTAGCAAGAAGGATAAGGATTGGAAGAACTCCAATTTTATATGCCAGTCATTCTAGAACTATATGTCACAGAAGATTATTCCAAGTAAAAGTTATCAAAAATTTTAGAAGGATGATTTGATTTTGTTTGCTGTATTACTTATTAGTTATCTACCTGGCCAATGGATAGGCTAACTACCATTTATGGAAAAATATTTTCAAATATAAGATCAATACATATGCCAGAGTAGAATATTGTAGTTATGTATTCACTGTTGCTTGATTATTACCAGTCGCTTGTTTGAGATGAATCTAGATGGTTTCTCTTTAGTGCCAATTCATTGTAACTTAGCAGTACACTATAACAAAGATAAAATTTCAATATCATTTAAAACATAGAACTTGATATTAGGATTGCCTGGTTGCATTGATGTCCCAAGATGAACCCTTTTTATGTACATAACATTTTGGGAATATGTTTTGAAATGTAGTATGTCTGAAATGGTCTAATTTTTGAATAGTTTTATAGAGATTCTTAGATTTTGATATAATTATCAGGTTGGTAATGGACCCTAATGAAACCTTTGTATCAAGTGATAAACCACAACAACTTCCCAGGCTTCAGTACGACTTAGAGAGGTTGATGTATTGAAACAAAATATGTTTAAAGCTAAAAACATATAGGCATATAAACTTCTTTCTACTATAAATGCCTTTTGAAATTCACAACATTTTCATTAGGATATGTTTTATACTTATTTAAAATGCTTGTCTTTTATGGAAAAAACAGTAAGGTTGAATCATCATATTAAAGACCTTGTTTGCTTGTTTTTTTTTTTTAAAAAAAAAAACATAAGCACATGAAATAAGTAAAAAAACGAACACGAAGCTGTATTGCTACAATGATATATAGTTTTGTAATCATGACAAGGACCAAAGTGAATTAAAAATTATGATATCATAAAGAATAAAGCAGTTGTCAAGTTGATTTGATTCATGGTGACTTCATGTGTGCCCAGTAGAATTGCACGTCTCAGGGTTATCAAGACTACGACCTTCAGAAGCAAATTGTCAGACTTTTCTTCTAAGGTATGTGTGAGTAAGTGAAAAGACTTGGAATTAAAAAACCAAATGTGAACAACACATTCAGCATTTATCAAGCTTAAAGAACTGAAGGAAAAATCCAAGCCTCAAGTTTCAATCTTAAAGGATTCTGTGGGAAAAATATTGAATGATGCTAGAAGCATCTAAAGAAGATGGAAGGAGTGCCACTGGCTGCTCTGAAAAGCCATGTTTGTTTTGTTCCTGGGTCTGGTCCGGCTCTCCACGCTTACCGCAGGCACCTCTTCAGTGCTCCTCGTTCACCACACACTCCCAGAATTCTCTTTGTTATCCTCTATATCCGATCACGGGCATTCCCCACCATGTCAGAAGAGGCTGTGGACACCAGCTCCAAGATGACCACCAATGACAAGAAGAAGAAGAAGGTTGTGGAGAAAACAGAAAATGGAAGATACGCATCTGCTACTGGGAATGTTAATGAAGAAAATGGGGAACAGGAGACTGACAATGAGATAGATAAGGAAAAGGACGAAGGTGGGGAAGAGGAAGAGGAAGAAGTTGATGGTGAGGAAGAAGATGGAGATGAAGATGAGACGGCCGACACAACTACTGCAGAGTATAGCTGAAGATTATGAGGATGTGATGTTGACACCAAGAGGCAGAAAATCCAAGAGGATCACTAAAAGCAAAAAAGGAAAAGTGAAACTTAAAAAAGGTCACCATGACCTATCCACTCTCCACTTCCCATCTCAAAATCTAAACGTGGTCACCTTCGAGTAGAGAGTCCCACCCACCCACTTTGGGCAGCGCCACCCACAAATAACACGCGCTCACCATTACCCAGCCAAAACCACAATGTGAATTTGCAACAGGGGAGAAAAAAGAACTAAAACGTCCAAGGCCCTGCTTTGTTTCTTAAAAATGCTATTTGCTGAGGCCCCTAGGACTATCAATGGAGAAAAGCAGAGCGCGGGATCCTACCCAGAGAAGCAGTGAGGCCTGAGATGGTGTGGCTGGGGACTTGGGATACGAAGAGGGAAAGGGGCTGAGGACTGTGGGGTGTGTGTGTGTGTGCGCGCGCTCGCAGGCTTACAGGGTACACCCTTTGGTTGGGTGAGGATGCATGGATGGGCTGGTAACTATGCCAATGAAACGATAGATGATAGAATGAATGTACAACTAATGTTCTCCCATGTAGACTATCACAAAATTCACAATAAAACATTTATTTTAAAAAAATGCTTTAAAAAGGAAAACTTTTGTACATATTGTTATAGGTCAGCCATTTTTAATGATCTTGGATGAGAAACTAGCCTTTGGAGCATTCTCTGTCTTAATTCTGACTTTACTTTTTTTAGTGTGACCATGTTCATTATAATCTCAAAGTAGAAAAAAAAAGTTGTAAAAAAGGCAAAAACAACAATAACAAAATTACAATCTTATTCCAAGCATTCCGGTAACTTTTTTTGTGTGTATGTACTTAGCTATAAGTAGTTGGTTTCTTTTCCTTTTTTGTCTCTGAAGTTGCTGTTTATTTGGGGGGCCTGTTTGATGTATGTGTGAAACAATGTTGTCCAACAATAAACTGGTATTTTATTTTGCTGCATTGTTATAATAAAAAGAAGAAGAAGAAGGAAGGAATACACAGAGTCACTGTACTAGAAAGAGTTGGTGATGTTCAGCCATTTCAAGAGGCAGCAAATAGTACTGAAGGAAAACGTGCAAGTTGTACTGAAGGCATTGACAAAAAGACAAGTTTCCTGGAACTGATAGAATACAAATTGAAATCTTTCAACAAACTGACTCAGCATTAGAGGAACTCATTCATCTATGCCAAGAAATTTGGAAAATAGCTACTTATCCAACTAGTTGGAAGCGGTCCATATTTGTGCCCATGCCAAGGAAAAGTGACTCAACAGAATGAGGAAAGCATCAAACAATATAATTTATGCCAGCAACATTTTGCTTAGGATAATTCAAAAATGGTTGAAATAGTACATTGATTGTTGTTGCTGTTGTTAAGTGTCGTCGAGTCGGTTCCAACCCATAGCGACCCTGAACAGGCTTTCCGAGGCTGTAAATCTTTATGGGAGCAGAAAGCCTCGTCTTTCTCCCATGGAACAGCTGGTAGTTTCTAACTGCTGACCTTGACGTTTGCAGCCCGATTTGTAACCGCTACGTTACCAGAGCTCCTTAGTACATTGATAGAGAGCAACAAAAAATTCAAACCAGATTCAGAAGAGGATATAGAAATAGGAACATCATTGTTGAAGTCAGATGGATCTTGGCTAAAAGCAAAAAATACCAGAAAGATATTTGCTTGTAATTTATTGACAGTGCAAAGGCATTCTTCTGTCTGGATAATAACAAATTATGGGTAGTGAAGAATGGGTAATCCAGAATATTTCATTTTGCTCATGAGAAACCTATACATAGACCAAGAAGCAGTTTTTAGAACAGAGCAAGGGGATGCTGAATGGCTTAAAATAAGGAAAGGTGTGCATGAGGACTGTATCCTTTCACCATACATATTCAATCTGTATGCTGAGCAAATAATTTGAGAAATTAAATTATATAAAGAACGGGGCATCAGTATTGGAGGAAGTCTCTTTAAAAACCTGTGATATGCAGATGGCACAACCTTGCTTGCTGGAAATACTAATGAAGATCAAGGACAACAGCCTTCAGTAGGACTGCACCTCAATGTAAAGAAAAAAATATCCCTACAAATGGATCAATAAATAATATCATGATAAATGGAGAGAAGATCAAAATTGCCAAAGAGTTCATTATACTTGGATCCACAATCAACACTCGTGGAAGCAGAAGTCAAGAAAGCAAAGATAGATTTAAAAAAAATCTTATGATTCAATAGTGAGTAATAGTTACCATGACTAATTGAGACTGTCACAATTATGAATGTAGAAGTTTTGTAACAAAAACTGGGGAGTAATTAATTTTGCAGTACAGAAACAAAGGACCCTAGGACCATCAAGGGAGAAGAGCACAAACAGAATGCAGGACCTTATCCAGAGAAACAGCAACAGCAGAGATGGGGACATGGAGAGAGGGAACAATTGAGGACTCTAGATTCATGTGAAGAGAGGGACTAAGAGCTAGTGGCCAGGAGGCAGACTTGCAGAATGTGCCTTTTGGTGGTGTAAATTATTATATATTCCTGACTGTTCAAAAAACAAAACAAAAACACAAAAAGCTAAAGTGAATAGAGAGAAATACTGTTGTCTGATGGGACATGGAGGGGATAATAATCATTGTAATGAAGCAAGATGTATTATTTGTTGAATGTAAAACTGATGATCTGCCTTGTAAACTTTCACTCAATTTACAGTAAAAACTTAAAAAAAGAAAGCAAGGATGCATTGTATTAGGCAAATCTGCTGCCACAAAACTGTAAAATTGTCAGTTTGAGGACTAAAGTATACCTGACCCAAACCATGGTATTTTGAAAAGCCTCATATGCATGTGAAACTTGAACATTGAATGAGGAAGACCAAAGAAGAATTGCTGCATTTGATGATGTTGGCAAAGAATGAAAACACCATGGATCACCAGAGGAACAACAACAAAAATATATATGTTACAGAAAATACAGCTAGAATGCTCCTTAGCAGAGAAGATGTCAAGACTTTGTCTCTTGTTCTTTGGATATGTTGTCAGGAAGGACCAGTTTCTGAAGAGGAACATCATACTTGGTAGAGTGAAAAAGAGGAAGACCCCCAAGAAGATGGATTGGCACAGTAGCAGCAACAATAAGGCTCAAACATAACAATTTTGAGGATGGTGCAAAGCTGGGAAGTGATTCATTCTGTTGTGTATAGGATTGATATGAGTTAAAACTGAATGAATGGCACCTAACCATGAGCACACGACATTCTTTCAAATTGCAAATATTGTTGCGATTTAGTTCACATTCATCCACACATGAGAATAGAGACAAAATTACTCAAAAATGCAAACTCAATTCCTGACCTCTTAGAATTTACAGTCTCATGCCCTTTTGCCAATCCATTTCTTTGGGGTCTTCCTCCTTTTTGTTGACCCTCCACTTTACAAAGCTTGATATCCTTTTTTAGGGACTTGTCTCTTCTGATAATATGTTCAAAGTATGAGAGACAAAGTCTGGTCATTCTGGCTTCCAAGAAGCAGAATGTCAACAGTGTGGGCAGAGGTATGCAGATGAGCATTGTCATGTAAGATCACAATGCCCTTGGATAGCAGTCATCTGTATTTAATCACAAGTTTAGGCTTCAGCTCTTCAGTGAGCATCTCACTGTAATGAGCACTGTTAATTGTTGAACCTTTTAAATGATAGTATTCTAATACTTGTTGTTGTTGATAGGTGCCATCAAGTTGGCATGACTAATAGGACCAGAACAAAGCACTGTCTGGTCCTGGGCCAACCTCATAATCATTGCTACATTTGAGCCCATTGCTACTACCACTGTACTATCCATCTCATTGGAGGTCTTCCTCTTTATCTCCATCCACTTTACCAAACATGATATCCTTCTCCAGTGACTGATCCCTCCTGAAAATATGTCTGAAATATGAGAATGAAGTCTAGCCATCCTGGCTTCCAAGGAGCACTCAAGCTGTACTTCATACAGCAAATCTGTTTGTTCTTTTAGCAGTCTATGGTACTTCAATATTCTCCTCCAACACCATAACTGAAATGCATCAAATCTTCTACAGTTTTCCTTAGTCATTCTCCAACTTTCACATACATAGGAAGTTATTGAAAATACCATGGCTTGAGTTAGTCCTCAAACTGACATCTTTGTTCTTCAACACTTTAAAGAGGTATTGTGTAGAAGATTTGCCCAAATGCAATACATCATTTGATTTCTTGACTGTTGCTTCCATGAGTGTTGATAGTTGATCTGAGAAAGATGAGGTCTTTAATAACTTCAATATTTTCTCCATTGATATGGATGTTATTTATTGATCCAGTGGTGAGGATTTTTGTGATCTTTACATTGAGATGCAACCCATTCCAAAGGCTGTGGTCTTTGATATTCAACAGCAATTATTTTAGATCCTCTTCATTTTCAGCAAGCAAGGATGTATCATCTGCATATTGCAGGCTGTTAATAAGTCTTCCTCCAATCCTGATGCCAAGGCTTTCTTCATATAGTCCAGCTTCTCGAATTATTTGTTCAACATACAGACTGAATATGTATGGTGAAAGAATACAACTCTGGCACACAACATTCCTAATTTTATACCATTCAGTGTTACCGTGTTCTGTTCGAACAACTGCCTCTTGGTCCATGTACAGGTTCTTGATAAGCACAATTAAGTGTTCCACAATACTCATACTTTGCAATGCTGTCCATAGCTTGTCATGATCCACACAATCAAAAGTCTTTGCATAGTCAATAAAGCACAGGTAAACATCTTTCTGGTACTCTCTGCATTCAGCCTAGATTCATCTGACATTAGCAGTGATATCCCTCATTCCACAGCCACTTCTGAATCTGAGTTGAACCTCTAGAAGTTCTCTGAGTTGTTTTAGTACCCATCTTGCACAAACTTTCAAAACCTAAGTCTGTCATGGATTATTTCAAAGTATAGTTACAGCCGTTTTTGCATTATCTTTACTAAA